GAATACCTGACAGGGAGACAACAACGAGTCATGGTACGTAATGATGTATCACAGTGGGCACCGTGACGAGCGGGGTCCCACAGGGGTCGGTCCTGGGACAGTGCATTTTGGTATATTGAAAGACATGATGGAAAGGGTTAGACTCAGAAGTGTCCCTGTTTTTTAGATGATGTGAAGTTAATGAGGAGAATTAAATCTGATGAGGACCAGGCAGGACTTCAAAGAGACCTGGACAGACTGGACACCTTGTCCAGCAAATGGCTTCTCGAATTTTAATCCTGCCAAATGCAAATCATGAAGATAGGGGAAGGGCACAGAAGACCACAGACCGAGTATAGGCTAGGTGGCCAAAGACTGCAAACCTCACTCAAGGAGAAAGATCTTGGGGTGAGTATAACACCGACATGTCTCCGGAAGCACACATCAACCAGATAACTTTTCTGCAGCATATGGGCGCCTGGCAAACCTGAGAACAGCATTCCGATACCTTAGTAAGGAACGTTCAAGACACTGTACACCGTGTATGTCAGGCCCATACTGGAGTATGCAGCACCTGTTTGGAACCCGCACTTGATAAAACACGTCAAGAAAATAGAGAAAGTACAAAGGTTTGCGACAAGGTTAGTTCCAGAGCTAAGGGGAATGTCCTATGAAGAAAGATTAAGGGAAATCGGCCTGACGACACTGGAGGACAGGAGGGTCAGGGGAGACATGATAACGACATATAAAATACTGCGTGGAATAGACAAGGTGGACAAAGACAGGATGTTCCAGGGAGGGGACACAGAAACAAGAGGCCACAATTGGAAGTTGAAGACACAAATGAGTCAGAGAGATATTAGGAAGTATTTCTTCAGTCATAGAGTTGTAAGGCAGTGGAATAGCCTAGAAAATGACGTAGTGGAGGCAGGAACCATACACAGTTTTAAGACGAGGTTTGATAAAGCTCATGGAGCGGGGAGAGAGAGCCCAGTAGCAACCGGTGAAGAGGGGGGGCCAGGAGCTAAGACTCGACCCCTGCAACCACAAATAGGTGAGTACAAATAGGTGAGTACACACACACACACACACACACACACACACACACATACACTCGGGGTCAGGAGCTAGGACTCGACCCCTGCAACCTCAACTAGGTGAGTACACACACACACACACACACACACACACACACACACACACACACACACACACACACACACACACACACACACACACTCACACACACACACACACACACACACACACACACACACACACACACACACACACACACACACACACACACACACACACACTGCAAGAAGGCTTTCGACACAGTTCCTCACAAGAGGTTACTGCAAAAGCTAGAGGACCAGGCACACATAACAGGAAAGGCACTGCAATGGATCAGAGAATATCTGACAGGGAGGAAACAACGAGTCATGGTACGCGACGAGGTGTCAGAGTGGGCGCCTGTGACAAGCGGGGTTCCACAGGGATCAGTCCTAGGACCTGTGCTGTTCTTGGTATACGTGAACGACATAACGGAAGGGATAGACTCAGAAGTGTCCTTGTTTGCAGACGATGTGAAGTTAATGAGAAGAATCGAATCGGACGAGGATCAGGCAGGACTACAAAGAGATCTGGACAGGCTACAAGCCTGGTCCAGCAACTGGCTCCTTGAATTTAACCCTGCCAAATGCAAAGTCATGAAGATTGGGGAAGGGCAAAGAAGACCGCAGACACAATATAGTTTAGATGGCCAAAGACTGCAAACCTCACTAAAGGAAAAAGATCTGGGGTGAGTATAACACCGAGCATATCTCCTGAGGCGCACATCAATCAGATAACTGCTGCAACATACGGGCGCCTGGCAAACCTACGGATAGCGTTCCGATACCTCAGTAAGGATTCGTTTAAGACTCTGTACACCATCTACGTCAGGCCCATACTGGAGTATGCAGCACCAGTTTGGAATCCACACCTAGTCAAGCACGTCAAGAAATTAGAGAAAGTGCAAAGGTTTGCAACAAGACTAGTCCCAGAGCTACGGGGATTGTCCTATGAAGAAAGGTTGAGGGAAATCGGCCTGACGACACTGGAGGCCAGGAGGGTCAGGGGAGACATGATAACGACATATAAAATACTGCGCGGAATAGACGAGGTGGACAAAGACGGGATGTTCCAGAGATGGGACACAGACACAAGAGGTCACAATTGGAAGTTGAAGACTCAGATGAATCAAAGGGATGTTAGGAAGTATTTCTTCAGTCATAGAGTAGTCAGGCCATGGAATAGCCTAGAAAGTGATGTGGTGGAGGCAGGAACCATACATAGTTTTAAGGCGAGGTATGATAGAGCTCATGGGGCAGGGAGAGAGAGGACCTAGTAGCAATCAGCGAAGAGGCGGGGCCAGGAGCTGTGACTCGACCCCTGCAACCACAAATAGGTGAGTACAAATAGGTGAGTACACACACACTCACACACACACACACACACACACACACACACACACACACACACACACACACACACACACACACACACACACACACACACACACACACACAGGTGAATACACACACACATACAACGAGTAAAACAAATTCGTGCATATCCAGTTAGGTTCAAGTAAGGAAGCTATACCATTATTATACTCTTCTTCATTTCCTCACTGTCGTCACTTGCCTCTACCACTATTTTTTGTCAATGTCAATTCCACGTCCACTGTCACGGTCAGTACCACCTCAATCAGTACACTTATCACCTTCGTTATCTATAAACACTGTCAGCGGGTTTATATACTTCTCCACTCTACAACATTCACCACAGTACCTGACACTATAAATACTACCAACACTGATACTACCAGAAACACCATACTTACCACCAATGCCACAACTACTACCACCAACCACAACTACCACTAAAACTTCAAAATTCCAACTACACCTAAAACACACATTTTTAAAAGTAACCACGAAAAAACAAATTATATATATATATATATATATATATATATATATATATATATATATATATTATATATATATATATATAATATATATAGCAATAAGATCAATATATATATATGCAATAAGATCAATATATATATATACATATATGCAATAAGATCAATATTATCAAGGAACTAGTTCCTTGATAATGTGAGTAGTCACGAAAGCGCTTGGAATTTCTCTATTCTTTCAGAGTGGTTGTTTTGCATATACATATATATAATATATATATATATATATATATATATATATATATATATATATATATATATATATATATATATATATATATATATATATATATATATATATATATATATATATATATATATATATATATATATATATATATATATATATATATATATATATGGAGCCACGAAATAAGTGGTTTTGAATTATTTAATTATTTACCAAACGGTGGCAGGCCAGGGTTCCACCTCACGACACATTGTCTCGCCTCAAGAAACAACACAACGTACATGTCACCTTATCCACTCAGCCATCGATCCTACAAAAACACTATATCTAATGTCTTACCTCGTATTATTAACTATTTACCCAAACATATTACTTTACAACTTGTGTTAAAAGGGGTACTAATCGTCTATCCAGGCAGTAGGGAGACTACGTATGTTTCGTCGTTTCCTTGAAGGAGGTGAGTACTCAGCACCGGTATGACAGCTACTGCCGAACAGATTTGTAAACATAAATAAGATATTTACACAAATAACTTGGATTAAGACATTTTTACACATACAAAGTATGTGTAAAAAACATATGTCAGCTTTATTTTACGGTGAAGTTAGTGTTCGTAAACACAGAATATACACAGTATAGAATTAAATATTATAAATTTAGCATGAGCATTCCTCTTCTGTAGATATTGCTCATGAAAATACATAATAAATTTATTGTTAAACTGTTTGAATAATACAATAATACAATAATACAATAATACAATATCCATATGGACAGCTTCTTACTGTATCCAGCAATAATGACTAAGCATTAGTAAATATAATTTTATTTGGTTTATTTCAGAACAGCTCTTGGAGTGGTTACTTATCAAAAATAATTTGATATATTTGAGTCTGGTCCCATATCAGGAAATACTTTGCTAATGTTCATTAAAGGTTGTTCATTGACGGGAAATGCGTGTGCAATGTCCATGCCTGGGAATGTCATGTCAAGATGATTTCATATCAGGAAATTATTAAGTTACATGATTTCCACGTCCATTTACGCGCTGAGTGAAGCTGGATATTTTTGATAAAATTCTAAGCTAACAGCTCCAGTATCAGTCATTGTTAATTTAATTTAGCATTCCCTGCTCTTCAGTGGGAGGTGTTTCGTTGAGAGTCAACTGGATCAATCATTTATTTCCTGGAATTGAATCTGTTTGCCTTTCCTTTATCATGTATGCCAATGTTTTTGAAATTTCAAAAACATTGGCATACATGATACTTAAGCAGCAGCAACCCAACAACACAGGAGTCACATGATTTCATCGTCTACCCGTCCTCATCATAGGTAGAGGTTGTTTTGATAAGGACTTGCCTCGCATGGGCCAGTAGGCCTTCTACAGTGTTCCTCCATTCTTATGTTCTTATGACATTCCTCAGGTCACGTGCGTCACATCTCACTCTCCGCCTATATATATAATGTCTTTCTACCTCTGTATGTTAGAAGTGATCAAATAATAATAATAATAATAATAATAATAATAATAATAATAATAATAATAATAATGATAATAATAATAATAATAATAATAATAATAATAATAATAATTCCCAATGGGGAAGCGGAAAAGAACTCTTCCTCCGTAGGCCATGCGTGTCATAAGAAGCGACTAAAATGCCGGGAGCAAGGGGCTAGTAACCCCTTCTCCTGTATAAATTACTAAATTTAGGTCACCGTGCCTCGGTGGGATACAGAATGTTCGTTGAATAACACTAATAATAATAATAATAATAATAATAATCTTGGGTTCCACAGAGCCAGTGGCGAGGGTGGTGGACGAGAGAGGAACCAAGGTGTTGGAGAAACACTACAACAGTGGCAGTATGATAGAACTCAAGTGTGTCATCGAGAAAGTCCCTTTTCCCCATGGTCCCGTCACGTGGAGACGCGATGCCACCACACTCACCTACAACACATCTAGGGGAGGTATCAGGTGAGCTAGGTGCTGAATTAGGGGTATGAAGGTGAGTTAATGGGAGGAATATGTTGAACAGGCAGCCCTAGGTATGATGGTATTGAGTATATTTTGAAAATAATAATAATAATAGTATTAATATAATCAGTTGAAGAGGTCATGCTTTTTTGTTAATATATGATCAGGATATAAGTGTAAATATTACATCCCGTGGTTTCTTGGTCATCTTTAAGCGTAAATCTTGAAGCGCAAACAAAGCAAACAAGGCAAGTCAGTGCTTTATAGAAGGCATTTATTAAGCTTAGATAGTAATCCAATACTTACCAAAGGACATCCGAGAAGGCACAGGTGAGTCGAATCTGTGTTGTGAAATCTTAAACATATGTAACTAGAGGCGAGGATGGTAATGGCTATACGACACGTGCTGAGTCACCTGATAGCACTATCGAAGAGCTGATATCGCCACCAATAGCACTGGACAGGGGACAAACCAGCTAAGATATCAGAAAATAAGAAGAGATATCTTATTAGGTTTAAATCCTATCGTCACTATGGCTGCGTATCACTTGTACACCACCAGTCAAGAATACTTTAATCCCCTAAAAGAGGAATTATACACACAGAGAGACGCATTCCTCGTTTCATATCCTCTGTGAGTAGAGGAGATATGAGAGAGAAAGAAAAGAGAGCCCAGTGGGTACACACGGGATAGACTTACTGGAAATATTTATTTACTACAAGTACATGTACATGGTATACAGGCCTAGCTGAGATCAGTGACATACTGCTATATAGAAAGCCCCTTGTTATGTTCCGCAAGTCGGGCAAATTAGGTCAGTGTCCCAGGATGCGACCCACAAAAGTCGACTAACACCCTGATACCCATTTTACTGATGGGGAATATAGACAACAGGTGGAAAGAAACACGCCCAATGTTTCTACTCTGGCTGGGAATCGAACCCAGACCCTCGCCGTGTGAAGCGAGAGCGTTAGCCACCAGGCCACCAGAAAATGAAGGTAGCATAGAGCTAAGGTAATACAACCTAGGACCTAGGTCCTAGGCTGTATTACCTAAGCCCTATGTCTGCTGGCTGCTCAACCTGTAGGCTATACAAGTACTCTTTTAAAACTTAAACATCCCTCTGCACACTAAGGCCTTACAGGTAACCATGAGAGCACTTAAACCAATAAACTAACCTATGGTATAAACTTATAAAACGCTAGAACAAATCCTCAAAATATCGTCATCTTGAGTTTTCTCATCATTGGAGGCATACGCGAGCATAATAGTCCTCTTGGTACTAGCGAGACTCTTCTATTAAAATCTCTTGTAATAAGCGACTTGCTGTCTGTCAGTCTCTCTCTGTGGAAAATTATATATCAGTACATCTCGCATCTGTCAGAACTTAATGCGTCATTGCTTCTCACAGTATGAAAAAACTGACTGCAATGTCTTTCACAGCGTGAAGGGCGACGCCGCGGCCGGTTACATTAGGAGTCGCCTCTATGTAGCCGATGCCACCCCCAGCGACTCCGGTGTCTACTCCTGCTGCTACAGCAACTTCACCAGGGATACTGTTACCGTCCATGTCATAGCAGGTCAGTCAGGGTGGAGGAGAGAAGGTGAAGGCTCGGACACTAAATCACGAGTCATACAGAGTAGCTAAGCCGGAGGGTTATTCAGAAAGATTGAGTCTGGCCACATTAAAAAGTTATTTACTAACCTTGCAACTAGTGGCGAGGCCACTTGTAAATTTGTACCAAAAGTCACATACGTACTTACACAGTAAAAACAAAACTATTAGCTTTTTGCATATTTTTCTCATGATTTCCTCAAAAGCATTGTACAGGCTAAGTTTAGTTGGTTAAAGTATAATTCATTCGTGATAATTGGAGGAATAGATGGGAGGGGGTGAGGAAAAGGGGTAAGTCTGGCCACTGGATCTCTCGTGAACATTTGTAATCTTTTCACTGCCGGCCTGAGGATGGGTATGAGATACATAATAAGGATATCATCCGATGCTGTATATATGTTAGGTATGTCTGTCTCCCCTCTGGCAAGACAGTGATGGAGTGAATGATGGTGAAAGTTTTTCGTTTTTTTTTAAGCCACCGTGTCTCTTCTCCATGATTCGCCGGTATTCTCCCGGCCCGGGCCTTTTCCAAGTGGTGGCCCGGCCTTGGCTCCCTGTCTTGGGAGTGTCTGAGACCTAAGTCTCCCATGGGAGAAGGCACAAGTGCCCCCTCATCTTTGGGACCAATTGTCCCCAGGCCTAGCCACATTCCCCGCCCTCACGGGGCTCGTAGGGAGAAGCTAGGCCTCTCTGGTCTGCCATCCCCGCCCCAAGGGGGCTAATGGGAATGACAGTCTTATGAGCTGCAAGCTCTGGCTCAGGCACCTACCCTACCCTAGAAGAGCTGGGCATGGTGTCGATACCGTGCCTCAGTATATATATATATATATATATATATATATATATATATATATATATATATATATATATATATATATATATATATATATATATATATATATATATACATATATGCAAAACAACCACTCTGAAAGAATAGAGAAATTCCAAGCGCTTTCGTGACTACTCACATTATCCTTGATAATGTGAGTAGTCACGAAAGCGCTTGGAATTTCTCTATTCTTTCAGAGTGGTTGTTTTGCATATTCTGAAATCA